GGGGGGGAAGCTGTGAGACCTTCATCATTATTAACAAGAATTGTTGACAGGCTTTTTTTTTGGCAGAGTGCCAGAAAGCAGCATATGAACTTAAGTGCCCCCCTGTGGTCATTGTTCAGCCTTCACTTTAGCAGAGCGACCGTTTGTCTGCCTTCTAGTCACACCTTAAACCACATGATTTCTAGGGAAAATACATCTTTTAACATGTTCTCATAAACAACGGAACAACATGCATCTTATGAGAAATCCGGTGGTATTTATTGAAGATACAGGACAAGTGAGGACAATAAGACTTCCAGAAATCAAAGAAAATGCTTAGTTTGTTTCTAAATGTGTGTATTCCAGAGTGTACGGGATCCTTCGGGGGCGTCCATTGCCTTGTACACTGCCAAGCTCCATCACCCCAACAAAACAGGCAACCATGTGGTGCTTCAGGCTCTCTTCTACCTCCTGGATCGAGCCGTGGAAAGGTGAGGACTGTGGTTTGGGATACCCGACATAAATAATAAAACAAGTCATATAATAGCTACATTTCACTTTGAATTATTATTGAAAGGTTATCTGATCAATGGTGGGCATCCATCTTTCCTTAGAAAAATAATTACTATTTAAGCATTTGTACTTCAAATAAAAACCTTACTAGATATATAACCTTATTTATTGGCAAGTGTTAGTTTTTTTCTTTAGGGAATCCTTTACATGTAACACTAAACGTTTCATTAAAGAGGCCTGATTATGTTACGTGTGTTATAGGTTGTTGTGCATGTAAATGGCAACATCTTAAATTACAAAGTAAAGTATCTTTTTAATATATTTTAGGTTTTTATCACTTTGTTCTCTATTTACTATGATGGAAAACACTTTGGTAAATGGTCCTGCATACGTTAGTTGTTACCTGACCTGTTGGTTAATGTTTTAGATATCTTAACGGTGATGTCTTAACCTCTTTTTGCCCTCAGCTTTGAGACCCAGAGGAATGGCTTGGTGTTCATCTACGACATGGCGGGCTCCAACTACACAAACTTCGAGCTGGACCTGAGCAAGAAGATCCTCAACCTGCTCAAGGTTTGACTTCCAGTGCTGTTGTTTACATAAACACATCAAATGTTTACAGTAAAAGCCAAAAAAATACAAATATCTGAGAAAACAAGATGCTTGATTCTGAGAAATAGACAGTGTAACATTCACAGGATAATATTTAAAGACCTTTAGTAAAAGAAGGTAGGTTGAATAATCTGTCGTTGTTGAACATGAATCACTCCTCCGGGGTGGAGTTAACACATAACTGTAGAGTTGTGTCCTTCATCCGATTGAGAAGCGGATTGATTAAAGCAGAGTTGGTGTCTTTGCAGAATTTAGTGTTCATCCAAAGGGGCAAACTCCATGTCTCACAGCCTGGGTTTACAAGCAAAGTAATGATTTAATCCACGGACCGTGAGTGCGCAGTGCTCGGCTGTGGGCAGACTTGCAGAGACCTGCCAAATGAAGCACCTCTCTAAGTGATTTGTGATCTGGTAGTATGTCAGCTTGAGTCAATAACAGAGACACTTGTGTGGCCACATCTGCATCAAAGGCATGTATTTTGTGCCCACATATTGATCTATAAAGGGACTGTTGGCCTCATCCAATTCAGCTAAAACATTCAGAGAAAATAGACAGACAGGGCACTCTCATAGTAAATCTTTCAAAGTCATGTTTTAAGGATAAACTAACTAGCACATTATTGTCTAAATCTTTGCTTACACATACCTTATATTGCTGCTAAATCCTACTATGCATGTTTACTTATCTATCCTATTAATCTGTTTTTAGGATTACATTTAATATGTTAAATATACTTATTGTGTTTGCCTTTTTTATCTACTGTCCCCCTCACTACAGCAATGTCATTTTGCTTGTGGTTAGACAAATTAAGGATTTCTAAATACTTCCTGTTGAAGCTGATATTAATTGTGTTTGTTGTGCTGTCTCTCTCCACTAGGGGGCGTTCCCTGCCAGGCTGAAGAAGGTTCTGATTGTCGGGGCCCCCGTTTGGTTTCGAGTGCCCTACAATCTGCTCAGCCTGCTTCTCAAGGACAAACTTAGGGAGAGGGTAAATAGAGGCGCTCTTTTTGTAATTCTTGCACCATGTTTATGATGATACTTAGTTACGAGTTTTGGGAAATCCTGTTAAGTTTATCTGGAGAGGCGTTCAATGAGTGAGCACTTCAGTGTTATTGGATGTTGCAAGTGATCATTTGATTAGGGGGCTTCTCTCTTACCGCACATAGATCCCTGAAATGTTAATGCTTGAATCACAGGAGTCGATCACCCTGCCTACATTACCGCCCCTGAAGAATTTCATTAGTATGGATTTATTCAGAGTCACCAGGGTCTACAGTAAATTCGGTTTCAAGATTATTCATTTAATCAATAATATGCAAACAAATACAGTTTGACGTAAAAAGAGGGAAATAATGTTGAATACTAGTTCAGAGTCGGGTGTCCTTTATTCGTCCCACAGCGGGGACATTTTAATTGTAAATCAGAGACGGTGCAGATAAAAGGCATAAATAAGATGAGTTGACTAAAATAGGCAAGAATACGGTGATAAAACTAAATTGTAATTATTAGAAGAATAAAACTTAGTAGCAGGATTATAACTAAATTGAAGCTAAGCAGCCACATCATGTATTATAATTGGAGAAATGGTGCACATTGTTTTAGCATTATACCTGCTAAACTTTAGCATATTAGCATTCTGATATTAGCATTCAATTCAAAGTACAGCATCACTGTGCTGCTAGCATGGCTGTAGACTTGTGTGTCAGCACATTTCAGATGTCAATGTAGACTTACAGGCCCTTTTTAAATGGCTGTGCAATTTAAAAAAAAAAACGTTTTTCCTTTTATCTCTCTTACATGAAATACCCCAGAGTCCCTCTTCACTCTGTTGAGGAATTGAGTATGCTCAGACATGGCCCCAGGGCAGAGAATATTATATATGTATTAGTATATGCTGCACATAGTTATGTTACTATCAACAGTTGTGTTACACTCTGAAGAAGTAGCAGCCAGTAACAACAATTATAAATTGCAAAATGAAATGTATTGTTGTCAGCTATTCCTGAAGATTACCAGAGTTTAGTTTGTTTGTTTATATTGTCGTGGACAGTCCCCATTGATCAACTGTTACTAAAAACAGTAAATGGGGCAGCTTTAGCAAACATGGCTCATTTCCAGCTGTTGTCCCCGGCCAGATGATAATGGACACCCTTAAAATCAAAATACATCAACAGCATTAGTTATAAAAAAAGGACGAAAGACAAGTAGATCCAGGCGAAAGGATAAAAGAGAACAATAAAATGCAAACAACACACGTTACTACACACATGTCACATATAGCACATCACAATCAGTTGACTACCATGTGAGCTTATTCACATCTGTAGGTCTGTTTCTCTCCTTCCTTCAGGTCCAGATGGTGAGAATGGCGGAGCTGCGTCAACACCTCCCCAGAGACTGCCTCCCGCAGCACCTGGGCGGCCTGCTTCCTCTGGAGTCCTTCAGCTGGAACCAGCAGCTCCTGGCGGGTCAGAACGGCCGAGTGGACCCGGTGGACGAGCTGGTGGGAATCCCCGTGGAAGAAGCTTCAATCCACGTCCCCGGAGCCGAGGCCATGCGCCCGCAGGAGCTGCTGACGCACCTCGGCAGGCTTCAGCGCACCGGCATCCACCTGGAGTACGAGGAGGTCCGCAAAGAACCGCCGCCCGGGACCTTCAACTGCGCGCAGTGAGTTCAATCTCAGTCTTTATTTATGGTGTATGGTTGTCGCTCTCTTTAATAAGAAAGTTGTTTTTGTTTGTCATTAGTTTACTTTGCGAATTGGCTGGTGAGCGCTCTTATTTATTTGACTAATTAAAACATCATCTTGTGGCTTCACAAATCAGTTTCCTCTCTCTTTTTATTTTTCTCCCGGTTATTTTTATATTTTGTTACTTCCCTTTGTACCCCTAGTTTAGGAGGGGACGTAACATTTTATATAGCAAGCTCAGTGCTGTACAGGAAACAAATACAATATAGAATAACACAATCGGAGTACAATAACTAAAAACAAGATAAAAAGCTTAAATACATAACTAGAAACATATATAAATGTCAAAATGTCATGTTCAACTAGTATTAAGTTCACAGTAGCAGACAAACATCTGCTTAAAGGAACTACTCAACCCTGTGTGACCTTGAATTTGTGAAGAATACTTTGTTTTTCTCGCATGCCTCAAAGGTGAACAAAGAATCATGAAAGGAATTCAAGCTTTGGTGAATTGAAGTAAATAAGGAGTGGCAAACCATATCCAAATTAAATGTTTTACTTATTATTTCCAAAACACCTGCATTTGTGCTAAAACCGAACTTTTTAAAACTCTATAATTTAAAAGCTATTTTTTAGACTCAAGTGATAACATCTGGAGCATCAGAGTTTCATTACAAACATAAAACAAATAAAGGAGGCCTTTAATGTCCTTTATCTCTGGGATTAATTGCGATTCTCCTAGTTTAGACTACATGTGTTCATTGAGTGAATCATTATTGTTGCCATAAGCTCACATAACTAGCTTAAACACACAATGATAAACCATTCATTCATAATTCAATTAACAGAAAATGTATAACTCATTTGCTAATCATTTCAGCTTCTCAAATATGAGAATGTAATCCTTTTCATTCATGATAATAAATAAATAAAATATATTTGGATTTTGTACAGTCTGCTGTATACAAATTAGCAACCCAGATGGTGAGCTGCTACGGTATTATTGATGTGTGTTAATAGTGTCGTTAATACATTTTGTTATCATGTGTCTACAGATCAGCTTACAATCAGGAGAGGAATCGCTACGGCGACGTGCTGTGCCTTGATCAAACCAGAGTTCGTTTGAAACCCAGAAGGAATGAGGTTGGTACTTCTATTCTTTTCAAATATGCATAAAATAGTTGTCATTCATGCGAAAAGAGAAACACTGCCAGTCCCATTCATGATATCTCTCAGCTGCCAAGAAACGTGCCAAGCTTTAACGTTTTGAAAGGCTGCCACGCTGCCTCTGGTGTTTATCCAGAAAGTGTAATCAGAGTATTATTTTTCTGTTGTGTTTACTTCAGCCTTATGTAAACAACTAGGCTTTGCTGTCACATGAATGTCAGAACACTACTATTCACATTTGAGTGTTTTCTTAAACTGACATGATTTTTCAGGGTTATCTCTGTCTTAATAACAAAACTCTGTTCCCACAGCGAACAGACTACATCAATGCAAGCTTCATGGACGGCTACAAACAGAGGAATGCATACATTGGTACTCAAGGTATAACAACTGTTACATATCTTTTTTAATGCTTTCTGGATGGCTTGTGTTTTAATATACAATTCCATAATCATTATTGCATAAGGGAGACAGAGTTGCATTACAGTACATTCGGTAATTTGGAAAACAAAAGGTGAGTGTTGGGGCTGGTTACGGTGTTCGAGGCATTGCTTTGAAAACTGAATATTTATCAGCAGAAGATTAAACTAGATTCAAGGCAGTATTTAAACTAAGGGAGTAAAGTTAATTACAGAGGACCAAACACTGAACCTTGTGGGACACCAATGTTTAGAGCAAGTGGATTTTTATTAAACAAGCAGGTCAAATAGACAGGATGTTTATATGTTATAAACACACATTTTCCTAAGATCTTTCTCAAACTGACTAAATAACATGGCAGACTTACAGGTACTGGGTGTGCATAGAAATGACCCGCTTTAAATTAGCAGGAAATTAGCAGTAAATGACGATTTAGAGCAGGGAAAGGGTTTTATTACTACTGTAGAAAAAGAGTAATGATTGTCTTCATTAGCGTTTGGGTCGAGTGAAGCTCTTTAAGCTGCCATTCCATGCAATCAAATAGACGTTCTCCATTACAAAGAAGTCTTTTTAATTTGCTTTGAATCTCCTTTTGAACTTGTGAAGGACCGCTGGAAAAGACCTACAGTGATTTCTGGAGAATGGTCTGGGAACAAAACGTGCTTGTAATCGTCATGACTACCAGGTAATTTCACTTGTTTGTTATTTAGTTATTGTAATGAAAATTCTAATTCATACTCATTTGTTTAGTCAGAAAAGGTGCTGGGTTCTCCTTTTTCGAAGTAGGTCAGGATTACAACAGAATAGATTTAATCGAGTGTGTCGTGTCTCTGTGCTGCAGGACAGATGAGGGCAGTCGGAGGAAGTGTGGACAGTATTGGCCTCTGGATGAAGGGGGGCAGGAGGTCTATTGCCACATGGCAGTGGTTAACCAAAGGGTGGACAACCACACCCACTACAACCACACCACCCTCGAACTGCACAACACTGAGGTACAGACATGGACTAATGCGATACGATCAATAAAATATTACTTTAATGGTCAGATCAAGTCTGAAATTTGACTTTCATCACAGCAGCTCCATCAACTGTCCATCAACATAGACAACTATCAGTAATCGATCATATGTATTGCAACAGGAAAGCAATAAACAAATGTATTATACAGTAGTAGCAAACGTGCATCGTAGAGTCAGTGATATTAAAGAAGTATGGCCTACAAAATTCTATAGTAAGTCTTTTCCTCTTCAACAGGGTCAGATGGAAATACTATTAAGAATGTATCTTATATGTCCCTTTTTTAAGACAAAGTAGATACAGTGTTGAATAGTAACAATTAAAGTTTGTTTTACATTGTAGATAGTCAAGCTTATTTCCAGTCTTTATATTTGGTGACCTAACTGCAACCAAACTTTACCTTCTTATATACAGTAGCTTACAGAAGACAGTGAGGCATTGATATACTCATGGCAAGTAATCATATTTCTCAAAATATTTAAGTGTTCCTCATTTTGTATCCATTCAGACGTGTGAACAGAGACAAGTGAGTCACTTCCAGTACCTCAGCTGGCCTGATTACGGCGTTCCCACCTCAGCAGTGACTCTCATTGACTTCCTGGGAGCTGTGAAGAGACAACAGAGGAAAATGGTGACCGCTTTGGGACTTCAGTGGGCGGGCCACCCTCAGGGACCCCCGATGGTGGTCCACTGCAGCGCAGGCATCGGGAGAACAGGTGAGATCCTCAAAAACTTCATGCCTGATTTTATTTTATTTTTTCTGTCCTTAACAGACTGTTTTACAAATTCAGATTTTATTGGAAAACAAACACATTTCCAAGACTTTAAAATGTTAAGACACAACGTTTTGGAATGATATTATGGCCTTAAAAAAGAGAGGTAATGATTAATTTATCAAATATTTAAAAAAGAAATAGCATTTATTTTTGTTTCATGTTTAAGTAATACTTAATGCAACAATTGCAGAATATTCTCTTAAATGTGCAGATTTACTGCTTTTCCCTTTAATTATCTTATTAAATTGAATGTCTTGGGGTATGACTAAACAAGATAGTCCGAAATAAACCGGTACAAACTTTTTCTTAGTGTTTTAAGACCAAACGATTAGTCTAGAAAATACAATTAATCATTACTTGCGGCCCCATCTTTAAGGCCTAGGTAAAAGGTGTGGAAAATACCATTAAGGGTAAGACTAAATCTAACTAAAATCTGCTTCCTTTCTTTTTCATATATATTAATAACAATTGTGTTTCAACACCAATAACCCCACTCCTAAAAAGTGCCCTGTTGTTTGCAGGTACCTTCTGTGCTCTGGACATCTGTCTGTCCCAGTTACAGGACGTCGGCTCGCTGAATGTTTGCCAGACGGTGCGACGCATGAGAACACAGAGAGCCTTCAGCATCCAAACGCCGGACCAGTACTACTTCTGCTACAATGCCATTCTGGAGCACGCCCAAAGACAGGGCCTGCTCCCAGCCAATCAGTGAGCTTCAGCCGTGACTTCCCAAAATTAATCCACGAGCCCTGACATCTCTGCAGTCAGTCTGTTAACCCCATGCTGTGTTGTGTGACCAATTTGTGAGCCCAGGCAAGTTAACTTCCTCGCAGAATCCGTCTTCTGTAACTAGGTCATTCTTCAAGCCAGACCAAGACAAGACGGTGATAAGAGAAGGTCCTGAGTGTTGACATTATGATGTTTCAATGTGATAACAATGTGACATTTTGTTTATGCCCAACATATCTCAGACAATACGTGGCAGCGTGAACAAACTGCTCCTGTTTTGTGCAGTTTTGTGGTCTGTGGTCGGCATAGTGGGTGACGTAATTGAGGTAATGTCCATTCACCTTTTTTTATTTATCTGCCATTTAAAACCAATGGTTTAGGGGACCTTTTTAAAGGAGTAGTTCACCCCAAAATGTTTCAGTCTCTCATCCCATATCAGTTAAAGCTCAGCAGAAGTTTGTAAGACAATGCTAACAATACATTTGACCTTTAAAGTAAACATGGCCATTGAGTGCCACGAGTCATTTAATTTTGATCCAAAGGCTTTTTTTACATCGGCATAATTAATTTATACATAAAATATCATTGTGATAAGGTAAGCGGAGACTAAAATACTTTGCTCATTGACATGGAGAAAGTCCAATTTTCATTTTGGGGTGAAACTATCCTTTAACTAAGTAAACCATTTTCTATTCCAAATGATGGAGCTTAAGCTCAGCTGTCACCACCTGTTACACCTCCTATGTCCCGGAAATATTGCGTAGTGCATTTTCAGCACATGGTATTTGTCACATAGACGGTACGAGCCAGTCTCAGGAGTGTCACACTGAACACAAGGAGGTGAAACTGCTCAACTTAAAAAACGATGTAGTCTTTTTCCAAGAAGTCGTTGTATTCCTTTGAGGTTACATGATGCATTCTCCTTTGCCTTAGTAAAGAAAAAAGCAGCAGTAAAGAGGGGTAAGCACATCCAAAATGACCGGGCTGTAAACTCCTAAATGGCCGTTACACCCCCTCCTGTGATCACTTGTTAAATGCCTTTTTTTCTAAATGTATCCACTGACCTTCCATCTCACCTATGAGATTTCCTGACTCTGAAACAGACAGGGACCGGTGTCTGTGGCCGCCTTCGCTCACTAGCAGTGCCATCATGCTTCAGTGACTGTGGGAATGCATCGCTAAGTGCCCACGCACATGCACACGCACACATTTAGAGCAGTCTGCAGTGACTATGCCATCAAAGTCATCAGTTAAGACCTCATGAGTAGTGCAATACTTCTTCTTTTTTTTTTCTTCTCACAAATCATGTCTTAGCACTTTCAAATAACTGTTCCCAATGTGCTCTGAGAATAGTCATCGTGGAGATAGGATGTGATGACGAGTGCAACTTAGTTCTGTAGCTCTACGTGTGATGCTGGGATAGTTAATCTTAGTAATGCTGAAATATAAAACCTTTAGTGACATTTTGGACTTACTGTAATCGTCTGCATAGAGCTTTATTGGGACGAATCTAAATAATTGTTACAGGGAAGCCAGAAAATAATGATAGAACTGAATAAGCATGCACTAATATGTGCCTACGCCCTACAGAGTCCTTCTTGAGTTTTGTCTGAAGTATATTTCATTATTCTTGTTATTTTAAGTTCTACAGACTGTGGTTGTAATCAGTGCTTTCATTTGGTCCCAGTATCTTGCCATTATTATAGAGTACATGTACAAAAACTGTTTCATACGCTGCATTATGTCATTGCTTGGTGAAAAAATAAACTGTTCTTTGCTACAGAATTCATATTGAATTTTCTTGTAGTGAAGCCTTTTTAAGTCTGCCATCCTCACGCACTCTTGTTTTAGAATTATTTTTCCTTTCAATGATGGACGCAAAATGTGCCCTATTTTATTTTTCTATTGTATTCAACAACTGTTTTCATACGATTACCCAGGATATACAGTTATCTACATTAATTTTATATTTGTTCTATTATAACCTATTACTTTACCATTCGTATGACTATTGAATCAAGCTATACTGTATTAAATACAAACTATGTCAACGTAAACATTCGTAAACTGTGTGATTTTTGTGTTTTCAAGGTTGATTATTTACTCCGTCAAGGTTTTGTTTGTTTGTCAGCAGGATTATGGAAAGATTACTGCAGGGATTTTCATTAAACTTTGTGGGAAAGCACAGCAAGGTCCAAGGAGGAACCCATACAATTTAGAGCTGATCTGAATCACGAGTACACAAAATACATATATTTTTTATATTGCGATTGGTATTTACAATTTGGCAGTCACAATTAAGATTTAGTAAAAAAACAAAAACGTTTTAAGGGTAAGACTAAATCTAAAAAACTAAAATCTGCTTCCTTTCTTTTTCATATATTAACAATTGTTATATTTAAAAAAAATAAAAATTGCACAAATAGAGGAAATCAAAAATGTTAAACCAATTCAAAATGTTGAAAAGTAACATTTAATGCTGCACAAATATATATTGTTATATGAGCAATCGTTGAAGTGACGCAGTGTAAAGTGAAAGACAACGCTCGTATGACAAACATGCAGAACAACGACAGTTCCCCTCAGCTCAACGCAGCATTTCAGCGTCTATCAGCTGGTTGTTGTTTCAGTTTTGCCTTTCATAAAATTGCTCTCAACCGGCCCGGCAATAAACGGTGGAAAACCACATCTAGTGTTTGCGAGGATAGAAGAAGCATATCCACTCGTATTTCCCTTCAGAGTTGGTGGAGATCAAAACAGCAAAAATGGAGTTAATGCATTTCACAAGCCTTTAGAAACAAAACCTTAATGAATGCTAATGTTGCTGCTTGTCGTATGAAAAGGCAACTGATCTCAGCAACAACTTTATAAAGTCATTATGTGTTAATGTCGAGATTATAATTGCTCCCAAACAAAGGAATCAATAGCTACAGGTTTAAAGAATTAGATTAATGGGTGTATCTGTAGGTTTTGAAGATTTCTAAACTTCCTAGAATCAAACCTAAACCAAAATCTTCTTTCATTACAAGGCTAGGTAAAGATTACCATTCATTTGAGCTGACAGCTGAAGGACAAACATCTCTTTTCTTTTGAAACATAGGGCTGGGGGTTGCAGTAAGACTCCTACACTGCTGCAAACACTCAATAAATACAGTGAATTCAGCTAGACTGTGGGGTTCTCAAACCACACCAAAGTGAGCAGTGTTGAAAAAGGAATACCCACAAAATGACGTGTACTACTCCCAGTAACACTGCAGCCGTGAAGCATGCTGGGAGCAGTGTGTGGGTATTTCTCTCAACAATGCTTATTTTTGGGTGTGGTATGACGTCCTCGGGGCAGAATCATTGCTCTCTGCTCAGTATAACAGAGCAGTTAAGCTGTCTGAGATCAGTATTCAGTGTAAGCAGAAACCTTTTGTTTAGTATTGATCTAATTTACCCTGAAGCTGAGTCGATGTTTAATTTGGCTTGTTGTTGGCGTTTCCACGTCTTAACAACACTCAGATGCTATAACCCTTTTGTATAGATGGAACACCTTTTAAAGAGCACTGTGACAGTTTTCAGTTTCACTTTTAAATGGCATGTCAGTAATCCGGTTTTACAATGTCACTGAATCACAGGCCCTTAATCCTACACCTGGAGATATACTACAAATAATAAACGTTTAGATCAAAGAACTCTGATCATCACCTCTAATCATCCCATTTAAAGCCTAAAGCTAAGATGTAGAAATAATTACTTTTTCTGTATTTGTCAATGTAGGGCAGACTACATCTTACAAACCATATGAGATATCATTTACTTGTTTTGTGTGAATATATTGTGAGTTTTTCAGAAAGTGTCACATTGTTGCATACAACTCAGCCTTCAATACATGAATGGAGCTGCTGCAAGTTTGAAATGAGAGTATTCCCTTATGGCAATAGTCTAATTTTAGTTGTTTCCTTAACTTCAATCTTCAGAAGAAAAAGGTAAACAATTGACATTATAATTTTTATAATCACAGCATTGTTACCTTATTAGAGGCCTTGGAAAAAGAGGATTCAAAGCAAAGTTTACAGTGTATTTTCAGTTATATAATATTTGACTGGTGCAATAAATGTACAGAAATTCGAAGTATCTAAAGTGAAAGATTTCCAAAAGCAGATACAAGCCGTTTCAAATTGTTGTATTCTTTTATCTAGCTTTAACATTACGGTTCATTTACATATTAGCACTATGTTAATGGTGTAGCTGGTTCTGTTAGGGCTTCATTGAATTAGATATGTTTATGATGATAGGTGATTTATATTATTGAACTAACTTTAGCTTAGAGTGAGAGGAAATGTTACTTAATTGGGGAAAGAAATGACAATTTATGGCAAAAATAATGCTGAAAATGTATAGGCCCCTCGTTATTGTCACTTGTAACCATGACTGTTTGTGTCTCTTTTCTTTCTTTTTGATTGTAAAGATAAGTAATACATTAACAAAAGTTGAATCTGCCAAATATGTAGTCAACTATCTTGCTCTGTCAAAAATTCAGTGGAGTAAGAAGTAGCCTTTAGTGGAGTAAAGTATTAAAAACTAAATAAAGAGGGCATACTAGTAATAAAGTATACCTATATCAGTTTATTAGATGAGCCTAACAACATAAGGCCACAGTTCCCAGTGAGTTCTCTTTACTGTGAAGATGGTGAGGTTAGATGATAGCCATGGAGACTCTGTTGTTTCTCTGCTGCTGCTTCACTTTTAGCGGGTGATATTCAAAATAAAGTGACGTGGATGGCAGTATGCGCCAATGCAAGCGGAGGGGGGCGTCTCCAACTATTTTGTTACAAACACGAATCCGGAGTAAGGAGTCTTTTTCCTGGGTATGTAACAGCTGGTTAAACTAAATAATACCATTGTTATTGCTGCTATTACAAGTGAACGATGTTTATGTCGAGGCAGAAAGCGTCTTGGGGTCAGTCGCGCCTCGTTGTGTCTTTAAATGAATTGAAGGGGGCTTTTTACGGTCGTAAGCGACAACAAAATATCCAGGAACATAACACGATAGATGGCCAAATCTGCAGGACGTCATTTTGTGGGCTAGTAAACACTCTTTCCGGGCTGTGTTGTAAATGTGAGGGATCTCGCTGTCTGGAAACATTTTGTCTGCAGCGATGTGTGAGCATGTAACGCTAATCGATCCGTAGGCGGGAGGGAGTTGTTGTGGTGAGGCAGGTTAGACATTTTACTCCCCACTATTGAAGTAAACAAAGAATAGGATTTGTTTGGTACTCGGTCGCCCTCTTTCTCTGCAGAGAAATACGTCTGCGTGTTATTTGGGATCGCGGAGAATGGCCGATGTTTCCACACAGGCAGCGACGGCGTAGTTCCCGTTCCGTTTGACTTTGGCATTGTTTAGTAAGGGCAACTGGATCGGATCTTTACCGCCCTGAAAATATGCAGTGTCGGGTCGCCTATAGGCCCTACTTCACCGTGCGTGCCCACCAGCGTACATGCAAAAGCGTCAATTACCAGATGATGCATTCTATTAGTGCCTTTTGTTTGGAGAGTGCAGACTGTAAATACGCACGTCGACTGACGCGGAGTGCATGCAGGGGGGCTGATCCTCCTCCGTGGGCACCGTGTTGTTCGGAGAGGGATCTCCACAGCCTTGCATGCTTTTGCACAAAACTTAAAAATAAAATACTTGCTAAGCTGCCAAAGAATACTCGAATCTTTCATTTAAATTTTCAAAAATATATTTTTGTGGTCAAAACTGCTCTCGGTCTGGAGCATACGTTTTGCAAAAGAGGCTAGCAGTAATGTGGGGAAAGCCAGTCGGGAGGATAGTGGAGTATTGTGTGGTGAATGTGTGAGTCAGTGTGTGTGTGAGCAGCCTACGGTGCTGCTGACTCCTCTGCCTGCCAGGCTGGAATGAGGAATCCCGGGCTGGTGTTGCAGCTCCGCCTGTCGTGGGCGATGGTTTATTTTGGAAGTTCCACCTTTTTGGGATTTGCAATGACGGTTGAATCCAGTGATTGGCTGAAGTGGTTTAAAAAGAGGCGGGACTCGAGTGCAAAAGCAAACGCCCTCATACAGAGTCACGTGTTACCAAAGTCCAGGAAGTAGGCTTGCTAGATAGAAAGGACTCACTATGCAGAATATAATAATACATAATAAAATGAAATGTTGGTGTCCTACCAGGTTATTTTAATACTAGATTTTGTATTTTAGATATAAAGCAAGATGTTTGGTTGAATGTGATGTTGAATCTATATTTACATTACATTACATTGCATTTAGCTGACGCTTTTATCCAAAGCGACTGACAATAAGTAGGCCTACATATAGTAAGATACACTTTAAGTCTGGGTTACCAAGGGTCACACAAGGTAAACATGTTCTGTCTCTGTCCTGCAGAGGGGTCATGTGTAAAAACGGAGTATTGAGACCTTTATTATTAATTATTTTTGTTTAATTATACTCACACATGTTGTTTTGTCAATTTACCACAAACCAACTGACATACAGAAACCCTGGGGCTAGATAATATCCTAGTAAAGGAGTACTACTTGTTTTGTGCAAAAATAAAGCTGACATTTCCATCGTGGGCTACTTTATGAAAGGAGATGCTCCAAAATACAAATACATACACATAAATATTAACTGACGAATGGATATAAACAATTTCCTAAAATGTACAATATAAATGTTCTAAATACTCCTTGACAACAATTCTAAGCTATTAGTATTTGTATTTATGGAGAGTGAGACTGAGTGTGTGCTTGTGTATACATGGGCAAGCAATGCAAGATAATTTTTTTCAGTCAAGTTTATTAAAACATGTGCATTTCAAAAACAATTGCTTAATGCAACCTCTGATTCTTTTTATTAACAATATTATACAAATACAACAAGTCCATCATGAATACTTGCAGTCTTGGAAGAGTCATTTAGGAATACCGGTGTGCAGATATATTGCAGGATTAGAAAGTCCTGCAGGACAAAGAGACAGGCTTGTCATAAAAAACACAAACAGTAAGATACGAGGACTTATTTTCATTAACAAGCTTGTAGTTATGTGGAGGACACACCATACAAGCGGGACTCCTGCTGATATTGTCGCGCTTCAAGTCAAAATGGGCGTGCATGGATACTGTGCGAGGAAATCCTTGATTGACAGTTCAAGCTGTCAAATCCGGGGACATCACTCCGCCCTTCAGTGGAGCCTATGAACGAACCGACCAATAGCGAGTGTCGGGGCGGGGCTACACACGGAAACCCCGCCTCCTCTCAGAGCCAACCGAACGGAGATTGTTTTCCTCTCTCGGGGAGATTTTCACTTTGCAGCTTGAACTGTTTATTTTAAATCACACGCCGATGATAAGTTGCTTTTAGCATATACATCACTGTGGTATCTTCCCCGGCCTGAGGAGTAAGCAGGTAACCAGAAAAATAACGGATAATCAAAGCATCATTTGCGTTCTTCAGCTCGCTATTTGGGAGAGGGGTGAGTTCATTCAGCAAGCTAACACAGCTTTAGCTATATCTACCGTTAGTAGCCGTTTTGAGTACCCCACATGGGAAATCAATGTTGCTTGTAATCTCTATTACCTCAAACTAGACCCGACATGAGTTCTCTACTAAATCGATAACTAATGCTGGCTTTAGATGTTACAGTAACAGCGAACCAGCCGCTAATGGTTAGCTGCATGTGCTCCCCTCCTACATTAGGTGCTCGGTGTCTGGGGTACTACTCATGTTGTTTACATTAGCCAGCTAGCTAACTGGCAGCTCACAGCCACTGTCGACAAAACAAGTTATCCGCGTAGTTAATACACAAACTGCTTTCGTACACTTCAACGTAGAAAGGCAGCCAGGAGGCGAGCAATTCAGCTACTTTTCATGCTTACCTGTTTTGAAATGGAGTGTAATTTGCTGCTGTCCTGCGCCACGCTCTAAATGGCGGGCGTCAAGAAAGCGTCATGGCTGTAACTCGAGGTCGGTGCTTGTGATGCCAGGCCATAAAGGGGATGGTGAAGCGCTGTTGTTAGCATGTGTCTAGCAATCATATATGCATTTGCCTTTTTGTGACTTTAACGATATTAAACCAAGTAAAAATGAAGTATCTACGAGCACCACAGCCTCGTTTTCGTTGGCCGCGGCTGTTCAGAGCGAGACTCTATAGTTGTCGAGTCCACTTTAGCTTGACAGTGTCACTTTTTCTCGACGTTGGGGGTTTAAAACGTACTTTATTTTCTTCCCCGTCGGGTTTCTGAGCTTTCTCTTTGTTTTAACGCAATTCATTGACGTGTTTGTGCAGTTGTTGCTGTCTTGAGGAAGTTGTGAATGGCAGGCTGGCTCCCCCACGTTCCCACAGCGAGCACCTGTTTGTTGCATCGGTGACGTAGGCTGTCTGTGTTTCATTGGCTACGGAGACTGCAAGCTTTACATTCAAGGCATGGTAACATTTAGAGGCATTTAATCATCGCGTTATCCCTCAGTGATTTCCTCACTTTTTGTACAGTACATGAAAGACCTTGGGGATGAAGTTGCATGATGTTTAATATTTGTGTCATGCAGAATAGTATCATTATTTATTACTTGGATAACCAAGAGTTGTACGTCAGGGACATCTCTGCAGTTGACAGGAGGAACTTAAAAAGATGACAAAGTAGGTCAACTTGTAAAAATAAAATGATGATCTCATAAAAAATGTCAACAATTTGAGTGTACTGTTAGTACTGTTTATATCTGTGCCACAATCATTTTCTTACGTAATGCAGTTCAAGGCTGGAGCTGATCAGCACTCTGTACGCTTTTTGAGTAACATGTGACGTCTGTTAGCTTATTCAAAAATGTAATCAGTGACAACACACATAAACCTATTTTCAAAAAGAAAATGCTTCAAAGTATGACACCAAAGTCGACATGTGCTATAACATGTTAGTCAATCAATACACTCCCATGTAGTTGACCTCTTGTTTACCCTCATGCCACTAAAAGCATTGGGTGTTCCATTGGATTTATGGTCACAGACTATGTAATATTTGTCTTCCCAAGCTTAACAACAGAAGCCTCTAGCTGGCACTGTGTGTATCCATAAATTCACATTTTGAAGTAAAACAAATAATAACTTCCATATGCTCCACAAACAAGCAATAAATGAAATGAAGTGGCTGGTTTAACGGATTCCCGCATTAAATGATCTCCATATGCTTTTTATCCGCAGGTCTCTCAGCTCTTACGAGTATGAGTTCATAATGAAGCGGCGACTGGAGGATCAGGAAACGGTTTTTGCGTCCCAGCAGCGGCGCCTCGCTGGCAACGCGGAGGCTTTCCAGCATCGGGTCCTGGCACCTGCCCCTGCCCCGGCTGTGTATGAGGCCGTGCCCGACAACATGCAGCCCACAGCAGGCGTCCAGTACTCCGTCCCCCAGGGATACCAGGTAGGCTCTGCTCGTCCACTGCAGATCTGTTTTAAGCTTACTGACTTAAGAGTTAAAAACGAGGTCAAACAGCAGTTTTAAGTCATTTGTGGCTCATAGATTAGGCTGTCAGTTTGTGCTGCCTTTTAGAGACTAAAGCATGGCTCCCTTTTTATTGATTTACATCAGGGGTGTCCAAACTTTTTTCACAGAGGGCCACACACAGAAAAATATACGAAGGGCTGGGCCACTCACTAGAGGTATATTGCCTCATAAGTTCAGTTATAAGTTAGCAAAATCAATCCAATGTAGGTAAATGATTGTGAGTGTTGGCAGCTCATTCCTTAAAATGGAAGCTTCACATTGATTATAATATGGAGAAATAGGAAGGGTGTATTTCAAGCTTGTTATGTAAATATGTAATTTGGCTTTTTTCTTATCAACTAAGATATGTTAACTTAATTTACTTAATTTATTTGAAAAGTGGGCTGATTAACACATGAATACTACTGTATAATTTATTTGTTTATTTGTATTTAAGAATTACAATATAAGAAAAGCAAAAGTTTCATTTGTGGGCCATATTCCATTATACTTTTTTGAATTTGCTGAGGGAAGGTTCAAAATGGGCTGCATTTGGCCCCCGGGCCGTAGTTTGGACACCCCTGATTTACATGCTTGTTTTTGTTGTGATTATTCCTATTACAACCATGTCACATTGCTATCCACCTGATATACTGAAGTTAACATCTTGCCATTCCTGTCATAGGTATCTCTGCTCTCCCAGGTTCCCACCGTGCCCCAGAACAGTGGCGGGCATGGGCACGCTCCGAGCCCAGCGGTCCACGGGGGGTCCCACCACCACAGCCCAGCAGTCCAGCCCCACGGGCCCTCAGTGATGTCAGGGCACAGCCACACAGCTGCTCCCCTGGCCTCGGCACAGGGCCAGCAGTTCCAGAGGCTCAAGGTCAGTCAGCCCGTTTCCTTTTGACAGATTCTCACACTTGTCACGTCCCATGTAAAACCTGTCAAATGTCACCGAGTTCTCATGTCAAGGAAGTTAGCGAAAGTTGTGTATTTTTAGCCCATAAAATGGTATGCTGATTTGTTAGATTCTACTACTTTGGACTAATGTTATGGTTGGTAAAAAAGGCTGGTTTACTCTTTAACCCTGTTTGAAATAGTTAGTGGAGCTAATAATGAACACTTTAAGACCTGGGTTAAAATATTAGTTTATTTACTCAAGATTTCAAAATGCAATGCTGTGGTTAATTTTCACTGTTGATTTGTTGTATGATCTAATAGCTCTTTTACTTCTTGAATATTGGGTTATATATCAAAATCAGTGAATCTAGAAGGAAACAGATTGGCAGATGTTGGTGAAATTGACTTTCCCTCTTCCCTCTGTCCCTCAGGTGGAAGATGCTCTGTCTTACTTGGATCAAGTGAAACTGCAGTTTGGGAACCATCCTCAGGTCTACAACGACTTTCTGGACATAATGAAAGAGTTCAAGTCTCAAAGGTGAGGCCAATGTTTGAATATAGAGAAAAATGTATTGGGAATTAAGCCAGAATCTATATTTTAAGTGTCCTTACTTTTTCTGTCCTACCTCTTAACTACAGGGTCATGGCACCTAATATATCAGGTCTTTTAAATGTAGAAGCCAAAGGAAAAGGCCATACACCTCAAATAGACTCGTTTTTTTTTTGCATAATAGCAATTTTACCAGAACCATTCTCACAATTCCCAAAAAAAACGTGACGTCAATTTCTAGCCTTTCAATCTTTCCATCTTTGTGGCCTCCACAAAGACCATTAGTATGTTTTCGCTGACCTCATTGCTGAGAACGGCCGGTCTGTTGTCCCTGTCACAGGTGGTATGTAAAGCTGGTATTTGTTTAAAAACAATCTGAAGTTCAAAGGGTATGCTCTGCCCTTTGTTTGGTAAAACTCTCAATGCCCCACGATGTTGGCAGCCTTTGAATGCACCCCGAGTCACATCCCAAGTACATTAGGACGACTGTCGCTGCTGCATCTGTCAGATTAGGAAAATACATTATGATGAGATTTTGACTAAATATAACATCATTATTTTTCCAAACAACTTGTAAGTCAGAACCCCCGACAGCATTGGTTCCGCTTTGAAACAACTTCTCTATTTTCTCTAACTAATAATTGATCAAAAACTGTTATTTTGGTCATTTGCTATTTATGAGCTAATAGCAATATTTAGCCATTTGTGAATGCACATTAATACGGGGCCATTTTCTGCTAAGAGCGCAGGATCTAAAGGCACCATTTTGCTTATTTGAGTGTGTACAAACATTCACATGCAGAGGCTCCATAGCTGCAAGATTGTCCAGCCATAGCTGACATGCACTTACAGAAAAATGTAACTATTTATTTGAGTTTTAATGACTTGTGTTTTATCGCACATGCATCAGTTAAAAAGATTGATAACGGAAAAAGTGAATCTCAGATTATGGACACTACAACAACCTACTGGTTAAATCATTAAAAACTGTCCTACACTGTAGTAAGATTGAGCCAGGTTTCTTTCAACTTTTTAGTAGTTACAATCTGATCCTTAACCAACTAAACTTAACTTGCAAACTTACATTTGTTGAGTCAGGGTTATTAGGAGTCATGTATTCATGATGTTGCAGAATTTAAAATGATTGTACTTTTTTAAACATAGGAGCTTCAGTTAAATACTTGATTCACAGGATACCAGATATGGTGGATATAAATTCATTCTGTCTTTTGTGTTGCTGTTGTTCCAGTATTGACACCCCGGGGGTCATCAGCAGAGTGTCACAGCTCTTCAAAGGTCACCCTGACCTCATCATGGGCTTCAACACCTTCCTGCCGCCGGGCTACAAGATCGAGGTCCAGAGCAACGACCTGGTCAACGTGACCACGCCTGGTCAGATCCACCACATCACCCCGCATGGCATTTCAGTCTCAAACATCCCACTAACAGGAGCAGCGCCCCTCCATCCGCCCCAGCTCCCGTCTGCTGCTGCCACCACCACCACCACCGCTCCGCCCCTTCTGACGCAACCCACCCCCGCCAAGATGAGCAAGGTGAGAAACTCTGAGTGGACACCTGCAGACTTGTACAAACAATACAAAAAAAATCCCAACATATAAATTGTTATTCCCACCTCCACTGTCTTGTTTGAAAACAAATACAAATCAAATGTTTTGCAGTTCACAGGCATGACGTGTTTTTGTAGGCTGACCCTGAACTTAGCTTCTCAAGGGTCTCTTGACAAAAAGCAATGGGAATTTTTCATTGGCTTTTGGAATGAGTTCAATGACAGACAAACGTTTATGATAATTACACATTTTGTTTGGCAGGATCATTTCCACATTTGAACACAACTTTTATAAAAGTCAAAGCGTAACGGCAAAAGCCAGAGGGTATAACGATATAAAAAAACTACAGCTAGGTCCCATGACTTCAATCCACCAGCACTAAGCTAAAGGTCGAACTCGTGCCAGCGTGGGGACGTTTAGAAGTCCCATTTATTCACAAGTTAACAACCACCGTTTTATGATGCCTTAGACATTCACGAGTGCTGTGTTTACTGACATACATGTTGTAAAACCAAACATGAAAACTCATAGACCTGTGTTAACCACTATATCAGACATCTTACCAAAAAAACAATCAAAAATATGTTGACTTTGAGACAAGCATTCATGAAAAAATGCTAAACTAATTCCCAGGTTTTAGGACTCAGTCCTGCACCACTCTAACCTTCACTGTCGTGTCCTTCCAGCCTCTTCAGCCCCAGGCGCTGACACCGAGCAGTCAGAGCAATCCGTCCATCCCGGCCTTCCCCTCTCCTCGCTCCCCGCCCATGCAGCTCCACCCTCCACTCAGCGGGACCCCCACCGGGCCCCCCATGCAGAACAACCAGCCCGTGGAGTTCAACCACGCCATCAACTACGTCAACAAGATCAAGAACCGCTTTCAGGGCCAGCCCGACATCTACAAAGCCTTCCTGGAGATCCTCCACACGTACCAGGTCAGGGGCTGAACTGAAACTGAATAAAGTGTTTTGTCCCTTTTTAAAAAAAAAAAAAGATACAATGATAATGTTGCTCATATGAAAGGGTGCAATAGTGATTAGGAGAGCTGCAGACTTGTGGTTGTGACTAAGAGAGGTTCTCACACACTTGGTAGAGAAGTGTCCGTACATAGCTGTGACCGTGTTGTGTTCATATGGTTATAGTTTCTGTTCCTCAGGGCTTAAAAGGCAGAGCCCTCAATATAGAAGGGCTGCCCTCAACACTGCTCTTATTTGTGAAACTTAAAATGTTGCTGTTTAATTAACTTCAACTTTTCCTAAGTTTCCTCTTTAGCTTTGTTTGGCCTTGCTGGATCAGTGACATGATGGCAAATCTCCGAAATGTTACCTTTTTCAACCCACTGTAGAAGCAGTCCTGATATAGGTAATAGGGAAGTGCGTTTGTAAACTCAGAGAGAAGTCATCTGTAAACTTTCATATAGTTCTAGAGATCAACTTTATTAATACAGGTAGGGATGTCCCGATCACCTTTTTTTGCTCCCGATCCGATTCCGATCATTTGATTTTGACAATTTGCCGATACCGATTTTTCCCGATCCGATCTTTATGCAATGCATTAAGAGAAAAAAAAGCATTCAAGTTGTCCCTGTAAGGTTATATTCTTTCTTATTTAAATTCGCGACTATTCTCATCTCCAACACATGGATATAGCCTTCTTTTTTTTTCACAGCGAGCATTGCGCATCAGTTCAGTTTGTGCAGCATTGGATCAAACACTAAATAAAGCTTTCAGTACTCGTTAGCTTACAATGCTACAATTAGAACCACTGCGCCCTGGCCCACTCTGCTGCCCAGATTTGAGAGAAATAAGCAACCAGCCGGTCTATGAAAAACAAGCTCCCAAAGAAGCCAACACATACATGATGTTCTGTGAATTTTTGAAACAGAACTACAGGCCTCAGGTATGATAATTTAAGACACTTTTTGGTGGGGAAATATCGGTCACTCTCTGTTTTGTCAACATTGAATACAAAATGTAAACAAAAAGTATTTAAAATTTATTATGTTTTTTTTTTTTAACAAA